GATCCTTCCCTCGGAGGAACCATGCGCGTCGCTTTTCATCACCGCCTGCACTCCGGTCACCACGCCTGTTAAAGTACCCTCGTCTACGTGGGCGCTTCCACGGGGAAGTTAAATTCAAAGTTTGCCTGTGCATTATTTTATTTAAAAAATCCCTCAGAAACTTCCTCAGTGATGAGGTCTTGGAATAGGTACGAGTTGGACATGCAAACAAGTGGCGCTCGGCCCGGTTTTGATTCCCCTCAGCCTGGTTCCTGCCTGCCAGGCACCAAGCCACCCTGCTCCCACCGACAGAAACGTCAAAATGTTGGAAAAAAGCGTCTATATTTGAAAAAAAATAATTAAAAAAAAAAGAAAGAAGGGACTTGGAGCAGCACAAAACCAGCCTAACAGGACAAAGATTCAGATTTTGAACATTTACATCTCTTAAATACTGTTCACCACTTTGCACCTACACTTACAGCTCATAACCACGTAGGCGAAGGGTTGGGACACTCCCAGATAACTCTCCAGCAGCACAGGAAGAGCCGTCATGACCCAGCTGCTCACCCCCTGTAGAAACCGTACCCCTAACGCGCACAGAGCCCTGCGCTGCTCGGGTGACAGCAGCCATCCGTCAGGGCGACAATTCAGACCTCTCCGTTTAAGGACAGCATATGGCACCTAGTGCTAAAACTTGACATAGGGCATTAAGTGCAATCAAGCTGGAGCTTTCTGCATGAAGCAGTGAGCAGGATACACCGTATGCAAAAAATACAAACACACCATGCTTCCTTGGCTATTGATTTACTTGATGTACAGTCTGCTGCGTATCAAAATACTAAGGCATGCAAGGCAAATTCTCTCTTCCTCCTCCCTCTGGTAAGCAGCCTTAACGTTAAAATTATGCCCAACAGATCCTCTGGATTCTCTAGTTGAGAATAAATACTGTAATGGTAAGCATGAGAAAAGCATTTTTGAGGTCCTATCAGCTGTGGTTATTCTCACACAAAACACAAACTTTCTTGCTGAGCTCAGACAACACTGCACCACTTTGTAGGGGAAGTATATAACTGAAATCGGTCAGTATGTCTTTAAGAGCAAAACGATTTCGTTAACATTTTAAAAATATTTTACCATTTTTCACTGTATCTACTGAAGACTTTCACATGACACATCAGTCACTTTCAAACTCAATGCTTCAAAAAAAAAAGTTAAAGTTTTAACACCTGCTTATTTTACCACTGCTTTTCAAGAGAGACCCTAACTGTAAATCCCAGTGATGGTTAGTATCTTATTCCAGGAATTGTAAATCTCTGCATGAGAAATGCAACACTTTCAACATCTTACTGAACATAAAGAGAAACCTCTGATTATTCTTCCATTATGTGCCTTCAAAGTGCAAATCAGAAGACAGATCCCCTCTACATAACTATGAAAAGATACATAGATGTGGCACTTAGGAACATGGTTTAGTGGTGGACTTGGCAGTGCCAGGTTAACGGTTGGACTCGATGATCTTAAAGGTCTTTTCCAACCTAAATGATTCCATGATTCTAGAACATAAGCCCATTAAAATCTTAGTTCAAGCTCATTGGCAGGAATACTCAGGCTAGCTAAAAATTCCCATAAAGTCCAATTAGAAGGCAACCTCTAACAACTACATCTACTTTTGTTCCAGAAATAAAAGCAAAAATCAAATGAACCATATACTAATGAAAGCTGTAACGGTGCCCTGCTGGTTTTACTAAGAGGAATGCCTTTTAATGGCAGTACAAAGAATTGTGTGAAGGTTTCAAGAAGTAAAATAATTCAACTTCTGGGTTGTTTCAGAGAGAAACTAGCTGCAAATACTGCTCCAACCACAAACATCCAAGCACTGTGTGGCTACCCAAATCCTGGGCGTTCAGTTCAGCTCGTTTGCACAATTCCTTTGCTTTTGCCTTTGAAGAATGTTGAAATGTACTTCAACAGATCTAATTTACTGAAATTTCCTTTTTGTACCAACCTATGCATTGTATACAAACTTTAGGGAAAAAAAATGACTAACGAAGCTGAGTTAATTAGTAATTAATTTTGTGTGTTTTATATTAATTGAGACAAATTCTTCATTTGACTATACTCCTCCTGGAGTAGTTTGTGAAGTAAGAGTCATAGTTCTACTTTCAAATGAACTCCACTGGAGATATTAATTTACAGAAAGCAAGTTTTAGATCTGCATTGTAAATAAATACAGTTTTAACACTCACAGTAAGTACTTTCACTCTGTGCTGACTGGAATAAGCAGATTACAAAGAAAGACTATTAAAAAAGTATTTGTATATATATTATATATATTTATAAAATACATCTCAAAGCCTGTTTAATTTTTTTAAACTACTATGCGTTTTTATGTCATGCCAAGAAGACACACAAAGCTCTAACTCTGTACATAAAAAACTGGTCAAACCACAAAAACCACCTCTGGCCCATTACACGAGCTCCTTCCCTGAAGAGAGCAAAGATTTCATGTGAATAAATCTACCAAAGACCAACTCTTTTGCTTTACTCCTGAGGAGTAGAAGTTGATTGCACTCGACCGCAGAAGCCAAAGCCATAAGGAGCTAGACTGTGGTTTCATGGCCACAGCCACATTTTCAGGTTGTGTGTTTGCCTACGTGCAAATACACCATGAGCGGAGCAGGATTTGTGGGAGCCAGACTCCCTACAGTTTGCTGCCTCAGGTAAAATTGGAAGGGTAAAGAGTACGAAGAGGTACATCACCTACTGCACCTACTGCTGCGCCCCAGTAGCACTTGCGACAAGTACTGGCAGAGCGATCATTCTCGGTCCTCCTGCTGTCAGTGCCCCTTTGCTACTTAACACCCTCCTAGTAAACCTGCCCATTCTGGTCTTGTTATTTGCTTTCTTCAAAGGCTCCCCGCATCGCCGCTTTATTCCTGCATTTGCTCTTCACTTACTTAAATAACCCTCCCTTCACCTTTTCATAATTTTCCACCTCCTGTTTAATGGCATCGCGCTTTCACTCACAAGCAAAAGCAACACCTAAAATAGTTGCTTCAAGCAAACCCCATTTCCAAGCTACATATCTAATATAAATACAATCCCGGAGTAGCCTGCCAGATATAAACATGCTAATATCACTACACCCTTTTATGCCAGATTTTTTGGTCTTTTTGCCACACAAGCTCTTTGGTTGCAGGGACACTGTCTCCCCACAGGTGTGCACAGACCAGAGAGGGCTCTCGCTCCCGAATTGTACAATTGCTGTGTCTTGTCCAACGCCCTCACAAAGTTTGCCACTGAGATAACGCACAGGCGACTGGATTCTTCCACTGTCTGCTCATCGGGCTGCTTTGCCCTAAAAACATTGTTCTTTGTAGCCAAAAAAAAAAAATAATCTAGATCTAGATATACGTAAAAATGACCTGAGGCTGCACCTCATGTTTGAAAATTAAAGAAATGGGGTAAAATTTGAGATCACAGTTTGGCTACAACTGAAATCCTGTACAGTCAGCATAAGCAAGAGCAATAACAGCAGGAGCTTTTGCTATTTTCTGATATCCAAAGTGTTTTACTAACCATATACAAAGAAAAGACATTTGTTTCTCTTTTAAATTGAGATAGACTTTTTAGGACAGACCAGTGTACACATTTAATCCTCCCAGTCTAATGGAATCTCCTCATAATGTAACTGTTTGTTCAAGATTTTTGTCTCTATTTATGCATTCTGAAAGACCATCAAAACTCACAGTAAATTGCATCTAAAATTCCCAGATTGAAGTTTTCAGTTTTAGTTTTCCTTTCTAATATGGGTCAGTTTAAACAAGCCAAATGCACCCTCTGTTGGGCCGAGCATGTAATGACTTCTTTCCAAGGTTATCTTTAATGACAGTTCATATCAAATCCTGTTATGAAGGTTTGTTTCCATGATTAATTGTGAACTAATGGACAAGTCATACAAACATCTGAATCAATATTATATTGAAATTAAACCAAAGCAGCACAAAATATTCAGTGCTACTCTACAGTCATTAGGAGATTTATGATCTTTTACAAACACTGCTTACATCTGTACTTTATTTCAGCACCAAAGAACAATTAAAATTCACTTTCACTGCAAAGCATTTTTTTGAGCTGGACAAGGATTGCTAACTGACATATTAAAAAAAAATTAGAGCATAGAAGCTCCAAAGAGCGTTTTGGATAAGGAAGCTAGAGTAAACTCCCAATAAAAAAGAAGGCTTATTTTGCCTGATTTTTTCTTATGAGGACGTTTCTGGGTAATGGTGGGATTCAGTGAGGTAAAACTGCCCACTGTATCGAAACAGAAAACAGCAAAAGGTAAGGTCTTAAACCTACCTATGCTGAAGCCTACACCCATGTGAAAACACCTACACTACTCACATAAGCGAAGTGAATGCGGGTTGCTGTGTGAACACTGGAGTCTAAACTCACACCACAGTGAAGAGGAAGTTTGTGAAACAAATGTACGCCAGAATACAGACGATACGCAGTTCTCAGAAACAGAAAGGGTAGATGGATTGCATAAGGAAACAACACAGTGAAGAGAGGTGAAGAGAGAACTAGGGTGCAGGAACTGTGAGCTGGGATCCAAAGTTACCAATGTCTGCTAAGATGCAGCTAAGGAAAGCTTCTCTGGAGCACGAGAGGACACCCCATTTAAAAGGGATAAAAGAAGCATACGGGTAGAACTGACTGCTGTGAAAGAAGACTCCTTCAAAGTCTGCAGTTAACCAATCCCTTTCACAATGATATTTAATAAAACTGCATTTCCTACCTTGAATGTATTCAACTGCTGATTAATTGTCTCTGTTTCCATCCCAACAGGACCTTGTGACTCTTCATGTTCTTCAGCTCTCCCAAGAAGACTGGAAAATTCTCTTAGCTTACTGTAAAACTCCTCAACACGGCCAATAGTACCCTCCACTTGATCTTCCCTGGCTTTTGCTCTGTCTAGTAGTTTGTTGCACTGTTTATTTAAAGCTTCCAAGTCTCTTTTTATACCAACAAGATCAGGAGAAGCTTCAGCTTCTGTGGCTAGCATAATTTTACAGTTTTTATTAGCATTTTCATTATTCATGATAAGATCCTCCAGCTTTTGGAGGAAATGTTTTATGTCCTCCCTCTGTGATTGCAGTACCTTGAGATCTCTCCCCACTGGAGCCATGCTATCAAGTTCATCATCAAACTCAGCAAACTGAGAGAACATCTCTCGGATGCTGTTTTGGAAATGGCCAATTCCCTGAAGTTTCGTCTCTAAGAACGAGCACCTATCTTCAACCTGCTGATTCAGTGCAGTGTATTCTCTCTCCAAAGATTCAGCTTGGAGCAAAAGATCAGAAACACCTGCTGAATCAGAAGCTTCTACCACCAGGTCTTGGGCAAGCTTTTTTGCTAGATCAACATGAGGCTTTAAAGCCTGCAAGGCTTTCTGCTGGGCCTGCATCATTGTCAGGTGTTTGTTACTGAATGACTGAGGTCCAAGTGAGTCATGAGCTTCCAGATGCTCTTTGGCATTTTTAAGTTGTTTTTCAGTTTCCCTGGATGATTCCTGAAACTCTTTCAGCCTTTGTGCCATGCTTTCCAAGCACTCTCTCTTCTTATGTAATTGTTCTGTGACCGCATTCACTTTCTCATTCAGCACCTTAGTTTCTTCTTGAACAATTTTTTTGTCTGCTTGACTTGCACTGAGCAAACTTTCAGCAGTATTATTTAATAGCTCCACCATCCCATGGTGTTTATCCAGGTCCTTCTGCCAGGCCTTCACCTGAACAATACAATTCTCTATTTCAACAGGGTTTATGCCAACTTTTAATTCGCACAGGTTGCTTTGGCACTTCTCTAGCCACGGCTGCAGATTTTCCACATGCTGTTTGTATTTGAGGGCTTTCTCCAGACAATCTGTTAATTTATCTTGCCTTTCTTTTACCTGCTTGTTCATTTCATCCCAGTTGCTTCTGAGTGTGGCAATTTGGGATTGTAATGCTGCTTTGTCAGCTCCTTGAGTCTTCTGTAAGATACTTTCTCCTTCTGCAACAATTCTTTCATAGGAACTAATCTGATCAGTGATGGTCTTTTTAAAATCTTTCTGCTCTTCAATTAGTGATTGCAAAGTATCAAGTTTGGCCGATACAGGACGAGCCTGGCTCAGTTCTTCTTTCTTTTTGCCTAGCCAGGCCTGAAAGTCCTTAGACGTTTGCTGGAACTGATGAGAAGTGGCATATGCTGACTGAAGTTGCTGAACGTGGTTGTCTACAAAAGAGAAGAGAGCAGAGAGGTTCATTATCAGAACCTGCTGTGAAGAACTAATAACTAATACTAATTCTATTATGAATGATCATCAATGTAGCAAAAGCTGGCCCTTAGTACGTGGTATTCAACCAGGAGACAACCACGTCAGCCAAGTTTCTGGTCTGCTCTTCTTGTGTCTGCACTACAGCAGAGCAGTGAAGGCATCTGGACATGAATCAATGAGGCGAGCTTGGCCCAATCTGTGTCTACACGAGCCCCATTCAGGCAGATTTCAGGAGTAAAAAACACACAGTCATGTTTCATGGTATTATGAAGTGTAAACACAAGGAATATCAAGTAATCTAGCCTAGCAGCGTCTAACTCATGGCCTGGAGGCAATATGTGTCCTTAGGGAGATCTTTTGAAGATCCTTGTCACTAGAGGAAATTAAAAAGCTAAAACTGAGGCTGTTAGGCAGAACAAAGTATAATATTGCTTGCAGTGTGTTACCGCTCGGTTCTGTTGTTCACAGGGTAAGGGAAGGCTGCAGACTACCAATCCCCTTCTGTCACAGGCAGTTTTACACAATTACCACTGTATTTCACCAAGCCATCAACTGGTGTTTGCCTAAAAATCACAATTTTGACTTACACTCTGCACCTATGCAGTTAGGTAGCTCAATGAACAGCATCCTCTTTTGGTATTCTAATTTGGTGAAGATGAACCTGAAGAGAAAAGCAGTGCTGCTTCTGTGCTTCAAATTCTCTCTCAAACTGTTCACTAGAGATCCCAAATATTGCTTTTATATTTTCAAGATATGAGGACTCTCCTGAATTCTAGCGTACAACTGCTTGGGGGTTGGACTGGATAGAGCTGGTGTCAGGTTCAGCTTACTCAGCATCTCTTAAAGATGAGTGAGACTATCATGCTTTACTTTATGCCTTAGTTACTATTTTTCTCTAAATAAATACTAACCTGATTTTTGCTCAATATCCTTAAACGATTTTAAGATACCATCTAACTGCCTCGTGAGTTCTGCTTTCAAATACTCTTCTCCAACCAGCGCTGACAGCTCTTCACAAAGAGCTTGAGCCGCATTTATATTCTTCATTTCCCGTTCTATTTCCTCTTTCATTTCTCTAGCAACTTCCAGTTGTTGTTTCACAGCATCGGGCTGCGTACTCACAGCCAGGCTGCTGCTTAGTTTGCTATCCAAAGCACTTAGCTTATCAGACAGACTTCTGAGTAGACTTTGATACTCTGTGCTTTTCACTATGGCCTGGTCAATTCGATCACATCTGCTCCTCAGTTGGCCAGTTAGGCTGTCCCATTTTTGTGCCACAGCTGCCAGTTGCTCTTTTACAATTTCATGGGAGGGTGGATGTTCACCGGGTCTCTTCAGAATCCCTTCACCAGCCATGGTTAACTGCTCGTATTGTGGCTTTCTGGTGTCAAACTCTTTGAGCAGAATCTGGGAAGAAAGAACATTTTAAAAAGCGTTAACCTCATTAAAAACAAAGCAGCGAATTGCTTCTGAAAAAAATCACACAGAATTTGTTACAGCTAGGGTGTCTGAGTGTGTACTCAATCTCTGAGTTTAAAAGACAGTTAAATAATAGAGTCTTCTACACACAGTGTTATTCCCAAGCATTTACATCAAAGAACCAGAAAAAATGAGGTAAATTTACACATCATCTAATAGAAATTCAATCAGCAGATACAAGCAAACAGTGAATTGTTAATACTGCAGTAATTAAGTAACCATACCAAGTAAAATAATCGCTGTTTAGTTTCAAGCAGTGTCTTCTTTCCTAGACAGTTTTGATATTTGTCTTAAGCTAGAACTTCAAAGAAGGTGTATTCTGACATAATAATGCAAAATATTATTATAGCACAGAGAATATTTGGATAATTCACAAAATGACTGGATGTGTACTGAAAGACCTTTAACGTTTATATCACTGGTTCCCAGTATTATTATTCTTTTTGACAGCAAGTCACAGTGTTGCAGAAGGGATAAATACCGTGGGTTTACTTTACAGAACATTCCAAATCCTTTCTTTTTAAGTCAATTAGGTTTCACTTTAAAGAACTGCTAAGTAATACATGGTAGTCTTATGTCAGCTGTCTAGATTTTTGAAGCACTTACTAACCAATATTAAGTCATTTTCACATAGTATTAGAACACAGTTCACGTTTTAAACTCTTCAGTTTAATGAATGTTGATATGCCAGCTTTAATAATATTTTTGCAAATTAAAATGTCATTTCTTACCACAGTTTAAAGTAACTGGCAGCAATAGAAATGTTTGAAATTAAAATTTCTAGTCTCTGCAAAGTTGTCTGATTTAACTTTTTTCTTTAGTCCGCAGTTTGCTGTAGTTCTGTAAGTAAACTACTCCACTTTTTCATTACACTTTTTCTTTTGTCTTTCACATTCTTGGCCCTGTATCTATTCACAGTACTACAATGCACTTGGCTTCATGTTTTTATTAGCTACTGGCACAGTAAAGTGAATAAAATCTCAGAAAGATAGTTCTACAGCATAGTCTGCATATGAAGATGGAACATGGAGTTTTACATACACATTGGTATTAACAAAACTCCAAAGGAACATTTGCACTCAACTACAGAGAAACCACAGTATGGTCAAACCAAAAAACCTATCAGAGAATCAGTATCTCCTCACATTGTGTTCCTTTAGCTGTTCTGATCTCTGTTCACTATCACGGTATTTTCTTCTAATTACTGCAGTCAAGTATGACTTAAGCTGATGTTTGCTGATAAATGTAGCGGTTCACAGCTGTAGTCTATCTAGATGCAAACTAGTACTTTGCTGATCACCAAAAAGCAGAAGAAGCTTAAGCCCATAATGCACATTGGCACAACTCACCTGAACCTGTTGCTTTTGTGTATTCAGCATGTTAGGATCAATCGATAGTGGTCCCAGCACACTGACCATTAGCTCCTTTTCCACAAGCCAGTGCTTTAGCTGAGCTTCTGCTGTCTGGAACTGGGTCAGGTAATTTGAAGACTCCTCCAGTTTTTGTTGCCTCTCGGATGTAACTTGATTGAGCTCTTTCCATTTGGAATCTAACAACGATAACATTAACATACTGCACGCACATTCTAGCAGATGGGCTGTCAGAAAGCAGACTATATACGAAACATAAACAGAGCTCTCTAATAAGGCTTCTTGATGATTAACTCCAGATGCCTTATTGCAGTGACTCGGCAAATATATCTCTTAACAGTCAGATCCATATACACTCAGATGAAGGTCTGCAGTTTAGCACAGCCACGTGCCCAATTTTTAGAGTAATCAATATACAACAGGTAATAAAATTGGATTAGGATATTACTAATGAAATACCACCAAATTTAGGCTTCAGTCTCAAATGATGTAAAAGCCAAAGGGCTGCTCTCAGTTATAACTTAGGTGCCTGATGTAGACAGACAAATCTTCCTGCTTATCCAGTAAAAAGAAACAAATACCTTGCCAAGGGTGAGCATAAGCCCAAATTTAGGCTTCTACTCCTAACAGCCCTCTGAAGGAGCACACCTCTTTCAAATATGGAGATTAACTGCCTCATCTAGACATCTAAACCAGGTACCTAAGGACAGACAATGAGAATAATTCTGCACACACGTATTTCAAATACGCTTGTGTGAGCTTAGCTTCACACGTACGCCAGTCTATGGTCTCTATGTTGCAATCAGAGCCGCCACCAAGTCCTACCAGCTTGTAACTTCCCCTTCCCTCTGTGATACTCTCAGTGCTTGCTCAGTCAGCTCTGACATTTTGCTTCGTCTCCTTGTCCCTGAATTTCATCCATGTTTTGTCAGTTTCTTTTGCCACTCCACTGTCCTTGACCTCTGCTCATTCTGTATTAACTCCCTTTCAACATGACTCAAGTTCTCTTGGAGACCTGACTTGCTACTTGTAACTTTTCAGAGATCAATTTACAAACAGAAGAGATTGGAAAAATTCTGAGCTTTAAAACTGCTGTTGGTGTGGCTATAGAAATGCCTGTCAGTATGAAATGAGACTGACCTATGATTTATTTAAAATATGACAAACCTAAGAAGAATATTTAAAAGCTCATGACAATTATGCATGGCAATTATTTAAAAATCTATTGCTCAAGCATGGTCATTTACAATTTTGGGAGGCAAAATTTATGGAACCAGTTTCAGAAAATGGCAAAAAGCCACGAAACCCACAAAATTACAAAAGCCACCAGTGCGTGGGAATAAAGCATGACCAACAACTCAAGCTGTTTTTTACATGAAATCTGAATTTATATGAATGCAGAATTTCTTGTATCTTGTAAGAAGAACAATGTATGTATCTGGGGCAGTAACTGACCAGTCAAGTTTAAGCTGTACACTGTTAGAAAAAGATAAAGCCTTCTCAAACAGGGAGTCAACCCATGGCCTCTCTCAATCACACTGCTGTAAACTGAAAGCCCACAGACATCAGCAGCAGATCTGCACTCTTGTAAAGGGATTTATTTCCACGGAATTTAAGGCGTAGGAGGAAGCAAGATATTAAAAATACTAGTGATGATTAATATATAAAACCCCCTCATAATAAAACAACTTCCAAATCAGACTGAGCTACAATACAGCTTTACTGAAGTACCTATTTTATCCAACATTTGTCTCCATTTGGGCGCCTCAGGAGAGTTGGGATTCTTTTCCAACAGCTCTGTCACTTTGTCCTTTAGTTCCTGCACTTTATTTGCACTTTGCTTTAATTCACTTTCAAAAAGCTGCAAATTCAAGTGATAAAATAAATGAGCAAGAGACTAAGGAAGAACACTAAAGCATACAGTTTAAAGTTCATAATACTGAGATGCCAAGCATTAAGATAAACAATAAATATCTACTATTTATATACAAAACACTTCAAAACGGTGTATGTTGCTAGATAGGGATTTTTGGAAGAGATAACCTGATAGATTTAAACTATATTAATAATAACAATTATTACTTAATTTGAGCAATTGGAAGATCCACTAGGTCCCATCATATTCACACGTACCTGGAATTTGTTCTTGTACAGATGGCAAAGTGATTTACACACGGTACAGGACTAACTCAGCTACTACCAACAGAGAGGAGTCTGGCGTGGCCCCATTTACCTTGATGGAAGTCCTGCTCTCAGAGACAGGCTGCTTCCTGGAGATCATCTAGCACTAGAGTTTAAAGAGCACCACAGCTTAACGTGTAGAACTGGCAGGAGAGTGAGATGTCCCAGCAATTCCTAATTCATGCTCTTCTTACAGATAGAAGTCAACAGACCTCATATGCCTGACAAAGGGCTCTTAGAAGAATATTCTTAAGGAACAAAGTTTGCCCCATGGAGCTGCAAATAAACTAAAATAAACACTGAACAAACTGCTCTTGGTTTAGAACTTTCAGTAGAAGGCCCATCAGAAGGATGACCCTTGCCTAAGCACTCGCTCAGTTTTCCAACTATCTGTGAATACTCTTCTGTTACTACACCAGGGTAAGATACTCCTGTTTGCTTTGCACATTCTCTGTTAAAAAAATCAGGAGCTAGTTTTCTTCCACATTTAGTCTGAGTTTTGGGACTGCATGTTACTCAAGTCTGAGGACAGTCAGGTTAATTTTTAAAGCTGACCTGCCAAATAGAAAAGAACGACCTCAGCTCAAACTCTGTCCTTCTTTATGCACACTCAGAGCCAAGGAAATAATTTTCCCTATCCATTACATTTCCCTTCAGAGATGAACCCTTACATGTGTAAATATTGTCCTTCATTGCTAGAGAAGCATAGATCTCCAATGCTGAAACAGGACAGAAGGTTACTGCTGAATCAGTGGTTTTCTTCTATCAATTAAGAAGGGGGGAGAAGCCTGTTGTGCAGCTATATAACTTAACAAGCATGACATGGCTGCTGAAGTGAAACACTGCCTCGGAACAGACGTAAGCCCTTGCAGCTGCAGAGACCAGGAGGTCTGGGAAGTGTCAGAGAACCAGCAGCTGCAGGAATAGCTTTTGGATTGACAGAGCCCTTCAGATCTTAGAAGCAATCCAGTATATATCTCTAAACCACTAAGGAGATAAAAAAAAATTTAATGCATAATCAATAAAGCTTCACCTATTTAAACTGGCCACCAAAAGTACTATTTTCTGAGCTGCACAACTCCTCCTCTCTGAAACAGTGCTCCCTTCGCTCCACTGACACAGTTTGCCAGATTTGATCTAAGCCTGACTGGCATGCTTACTAGGATCATTTGAATACTGTCTGTAACATTAAGCTAGGCTGAGATATTGGTTGTTCTAATAGTATTTGCGCAATAACTGCAAGAAAAAGTATTTTTTTGAAGGCACAAAGTACCTTATGTTGCTCAACTTGGGCTTTAACTGCTTCACTATCAGTTGGAGCAGCTTCCCAGTCTGATGCAGTTTTGTCCATTTTTTGCAACCACTGCATCATGGAGGTCGATTCTTCCTGAATATTCTGCATTTTTGAAAGCATGCTTTCTAGTTCTGAAATCTTTTCCTTCAATAAAACTCCCAAATCTTCATATCTGTGATTTACATCAGACATGGCTTGTTGAACAGTTGTCAGTTCTGTAAAAAGAGAGATGCACAATGACTATGTTAGAGGTTACCAGCACTTCAAACAATAATTCAGAACTTCTAAACAGCACTCTGAGTTACAATAGCTACTAGTTCCCCAGATAAGAAGTTGCTGAACATAGAATCACAGAATGGCCTAGGCTGGAAGGGACCTTAGGGATCATTTAATCCGACCTCCCTGACATGGGCAGGGACACCACCTCTCGACTAGATCAGGCAACACATGGGGAACAAACGGGAACCAAACTCGTGACCTTGGTGTTGTCAGTGCCATGCTCAACTGACTGAGCTAACCAGCCCCCCATATGTTAAGAGTTATTTCCAATTCACTTTAAATGTGGTAACACTACATCTGAATGACCTAATATAAGTTCCTACTTGCAAGAGCTTCTAATTTCACAGAAGTCATTAAGGCACACAAATACCTTTCAGTCTTTCTTTTTATTTTAGTATTTTAAACAACAATTCCATGACAAAACGTTGAACATACTGGACTACAGTTCAGTTACTTACAAGAGAGCCTAACATTACTGCAATAACATTTTGCTCACATTCATGCACCATTAGAAATGCATTTTATTGCTGAGAGAGCACAGCTGTCACTCAGTAGACAATAGTTTAGGAGAATGGACACTGCAGACTTGAGACATGGTATGTGGCCATCCATAAGTACATATAAAGTGCATATGTAAGTTCCTTTGTTTCTTTACAGGGGCTGGTCACATACAGTGATGTGAATGTATGTAAAATGGGTGTCTTTGTATAGGTATGTGTTTGTGCATGTTGTGAATGCTGGCGGGTGTTAAAAGTTTCAAATCCCATACATGCGCACAAGAATTCTCTCAAAAGCCACGTGTTCTATTAAAATAGCAATCCCTGTATACATCTACAGAAGTACATATTGATTCAGAAAACCACCAGATTTCATCTGTCCTCAAAGAAAATATTGAACGTAGGTATTTTTACAGTTAATTTTAGTATCATGTCCTAGTCTACATAGTTGCCTTACAAGACGGCAACGTAAAATTCCAGGCTAGTAGTGACTACCACAAGCAGATTTATGTACCACATTGAAAAGATAGTTACATATTTAACAGTAATTGGCAACCATATTTCTTTATCACACCTGAAATTTTTACTGACCTTTATTTTTCAGGAAATCATGAGTTCCTGGAGCTCCTCCTTCACCATTTAACATTGTGCCACCTGTAGATTAAGAGAGATGAAGTCCCATGGGCCTCTTCCCATCAAAAAAACAGTGTTGCATTTCCTCTTCAAAACAGCACAATACATGACTCTATGTTTGGGTATGGCCTAGGAGAGGACTAGCCTGCAAATGCCAAGACTGTGAGGACAGCATCAAACACAAAATAGCAAAGAAGCCCTGAGTGGTGGTCACTGCAAACACCACAACCAAAGGCACTGCTTACTTGGGACACCTTTCCTCACCAGGGAAATGGGAGTCACCACTCCCAGAAACATTTAAAAGACGTGTCGATGTGGTGCTTTGGGACACAGTTTAGTGGCGGACTTGGCAGTGCTAGGTTAACAGTTGGACTCAATGATCTTAGGGGTCTTTTCCAACCTAAATGATTTTGTGATTTAGCAGCACTGTACCTCATCACAAAAAAAGCTCTTTAAGACCAACCAGATGAATCCCTCCCTCCCTCATGAGCAAGACTTGAGCACATGCTCTGTGACAGGGATTGATTGCAATCTTTACTGTCACACATGAAGTCCTCACTGTCACTCGGAGGCAGCCATTCACCCAGGCAGCCCCACTAATTAAACATAATTTCAAAGCCTCTGGAACAGGGCTATATGGGCTTTCTAAAACACTGTCAGAGACCACAAAGCTGAGGCACGTGGTCAAACCACAGAGAACTGCAAGAAGAATCACTACCCGCTCTCCTGCTCATATGTATTCCCAGATGAGCAATTAGCAGAGAGAGATTAACAGTTGCCTTGGAAAAGGCTGTGCAGACACCCCACAGTACCAGCTGGACAGTGAGGACCACATTAGTGGCAGCTGGAGGATGGCGAGAGAAAACAAACCAGATAAGAGAAGTCACTGCCCCCAGCCAGAGCCTTGTAAATCTTCATGCTCTATTAGTTGGACTGTGGTATTTATAACTGTGATTAAGTAATGCACACTACAGCTCTTGTCTAGGAGGAGGAATATTCTAGTTTGGAGGATTACAGCTGCTCTTATATGCTAGTCTTATTTTATTTTTTTCTATCTAGATGCACAGGAGTAGAGAAAGGGGCAGAAATAACCCACATAAGTTTCCAAAAGTTCTTTGAAAGATTTTTATTTGAAATTCAAATAAGAATAAAACCAGAGGCAGCTACTACAAAGAAATGTGAAAAAGTGTTCTACCCTTGCCAGTCCCCATCCTCCCAATACTTTGTAGATGACAAATGAAGGCCAACACACTTGAATTCGTTTCCAGACATAGTCAGTTCAAGAACTGGCTGACAATGTGCTTATGGCCATTAGAATCCCCCAGGTACAACATGCCTTGAACTATGGCTTGAATGATATTTAGCAGACTTACTGGTTTCTGTAAAACAAATTAACATTTAAACACTGAAGTACAGAAAAATCATGAAAACAGATTTGCTGTCTTTAAAATCAGATTACCAGTAAAAAGGATTTAGCTGAAGCTCCAGACTGGAAACACATTTTGGCCCAGGAAAGTCATGCTGGGGCATGGAGTTGATTCCTTTCCATGCTGTTGTGTTCAACTAAAATACTGACTAGTATTAATTATGCTGTCATACTGGGATGAGTAGGTTCGCCTAGACTCGCTTTTTTTGAGAAGCTCTGTCTTCATCACACTTCTAACAATAACTCCATGACTTTGCAAACTTTTATGTGTTTTTCTGGCAGGACACAGAATAGCCTTCTGGCCATTAAAGAGGTAGGTCTGCAGCAGCAAAAATGTGCAGGTACATCAGTGTTTGCAAACAGAAGGATTCGTATTTGTCCTGTTTGTAGACTTGGTGAATACACACCAAGCAGGGTCAATTTCTCATTATCAGATGCTTTCTGAGGTAAAGGGAAGGTAACTGTGATACTGCTCATTTTGTTCATTACCTGGGAATTACATACTAAAGTAATAGGTTTAGAACCTGTTAATCATTTATGTCACAGTACTTTCATGCTATTTTGGCAGGGCAAAGCAATCAGAACATGTACTGAGTTACTAGAGCAGTTAGTTTAAATGAGAGTCACAGCAAACAATGGTCAGAACAGACATGGCTATCTGACCTCTCACAAGACATAACATTCAGAAGGCTAATCCAAGGGTTAACTATTTTAAGTTTTGTTTTAAAGGTTTTAAAAATTCATGAAATATAAGGCTTACACGATTGTACCAACACATACCTGATTTTGCAGCTGCTCTCAGTTTGGCAGGAGAAGTCACAGCAGTAATTAGATTACACAGCAGCGTTCCTCTGCTATTTATTTTCTGCAGTTCAGGTGCTTTCAATGTCCATTCATCTTTTAAATTCTGGTTAAGAAAGAAAGTAATTTTTTCATTACAAAACTGACTTCAGACTTAAAAGATTTAGTGTAGCGAAAGGAACAACATTGCTACTTGGGAATCCCCTGCAGTATATCCAAACTTGCAAATGAAATGGGATTGTAAATGCAGACTGCAAGCTCCCTAGTCTCAATTACTGTGACTGCTTAAACAGTAAGTCTGTACTTGTATGTTACTAATAGATGCCCTATTTCCTTCAGTCATATTTCAGTTCTCCTCTACAATGTCTTACCAATGTATCTTCCAAAGGTTTCTTTAACTCCTCTGTATTCAGAGAGGGTTGCGCTGCTGGAATTCGTTCTGTTGTCTCTTTTATCCATTTCTTTAACGATTCTACAAGAAGCTCAAAAGTATCCATTTGTTTCTGACACGATGATACATCCTCTTCTCTAGACAATTAAATACAAAGAAATGTCAGCACTCCTAATAATTAAACCAACCGATATTATTAATCTGATATCACAAAACCACAGAATCATAGAACCATAGAATCATAGA